CATGTGGAAGGCCATCATGCTGCCTCAAATCAAAGGTGCACAGATGGGCCACCACCTTGATCCGGTAAGCCGTGCGCCACCAGAAACCCTCACCATCACCAAGGATGGGAAGGAGGAGCAGATCGCCAACTTTGCCCGAGTTCTCTGGTATGCACAACAGCAACAGGTTCAGGGCTTTCTGATGGGTTCTCTGTCTCGCGAGATTCTTGCACAGGTGGTTACCCTTCAGACACCGGCGGAGGTGTGGGCGGCGATCGAAGCTATGTTTGCTGCCCAAACCGAAGCACAAGCAATCAATACTCGGATGGAACTCACAAACCTCAAGAAGGGCAACATGTCCATGACAGAGTATTTAGCCAAGATCAAGATGCTCACGGATGAGATCGCCTGCACCCGAGCTGCCATGTCTAGAGGCGAGATCGTCTCCCAAGTTCTGGCCGGCCTCGACCTCGACTACAACCCGGTCGTGTCGGCGCTTGCTGCGCGGGTTGAACCCGTGTCCGTCCAGGAGCTGTACACTCAGCTTCTCAGTTTTGACGCACACCTCAATCTTCTCCATGGGATGAACGTGCGCCAGTCTTCAGCTAACGCCGCCTCTCGTGGCCATGGTACTGGCCGTGGGCGCGGTCATCAGGGGAGGAACCACAGCAACATCAGCGGTGGTGGCGGGCGCGGCCGCGGCGGCGGATCAGGTGCACGGCCCGGCGGGAGCGGCTACACCAACACCAACACTCCTGCCCGTTCTGGAGGGGGTGGCTTCAACAACAATCACACCTCCTCTGGTCCTTCCTCAAGCAACCGTGTTCGGTGCCAATTGTGCAAGAAATTGGGCCATGAGGTCATGGACTGTTGGCATCGTTACGATGAAGACTTTGTTCCTGACGCTCGTCATGTCGCTGCTGCAATCAGAAAGCAAGGGGGAGATGGCACGGTCTGGTACGCCGACTCGGGGGAGACTGATCATGTCACTAACGAGCTTGAAAAACTCTCCATGAGGGAGAGATACTTCGGCAACGATCAAATTCACACCGCAAGCGGTGGAGGTATGGATATTTGTGACATTGGTCAAGCATCTATTAATTCCCCTACTCTTAAACGTGATCTTGTTCTAAAAGATGTCCTTCATATTCCACAAGCCGACAAAAACCTAGCATCTATGTCTCGTTTATCTGCCGATAATAATGTTTTCTTTGAAACTCACCCAACATATTTTTTCATCAAGGATCGGGCAACGAGGGAGCTCATTCACCACGGTAGATGCATTGGAGGCTTGTATCCCATCACATCCGGAGCACTTAGTCGAAAGCTTCGTCATCAAGTTTACTCCGTCATCAAGCCCTCCTTGGCGAGATGGCATCAAAGATTAGGACATCCTTCTTCGGTCATAGTCAAGCAAGTAGTGAATAAAGGCAATCTTCCATTGTCATCTAGTCAAAATATTGAGTCTGTTTGTGATGCTTGTCAGTGTGCAAAGAGTCACCAACTCCCTTATCCTAAGTCAAATAGGGTGTCTCGTGCTTCATTGGAACTTATTTTTAGTGGTGTATGGGGTCATGCAAGAGATTCTTTTGGAAGAAAAAAAATATTATGTTAGTTTTATTGATGACTTTAGCAAGTTTACTTGGACATATTTGCTTAAGTTTAAATCTGAAGTTCTTTCCATCTTCCAAGAATTTCAGAAACTTGTTGAGCGTCAATTTAACAGAAAGATTATTGCAGTTCAAAGTGACTGGGGAGGAGAGTATGAGAAACTCAACTCTTTCTTTCGTGACATTGGTATTAGTCATCATGTCTCTTGCCCTCATGCTCATCAGCAGAATGGCTCCGCCGAGCGTAAACATCGCCACATTGTCGAAGTAGGTCTATCCCTTCTAGCTCATGCATCCATGCCCTTAAAATATTGGGATGAAGCCTTTATTGCTGCCACTTATCTTATAAATCGTCTTCCTAGCAAAGTGATTGGACATATTACTCCTTTGGAAAAATTGTTTCATCAAAAACCAGATTATAACTCCTTGAGAATTTTCGGGTGTGCTTGTTACCCTAATCTTCGTCCATATAATCATCACAAACTTGAGTTTCGTTCTACTCAATGTGTGTTTCTCGGTTATAGTAACCTTCATAAACGATACAAGTGTCTTGAAATTTCTACTGGACGAATCTATATTTCGCGTGATGTTATATTTGATGAAACAATATTCCCTTTTGAAAAACTTCATCCAAATGTCGGAGCGCTACTTCGTGCAGAAATTGCACTTCTTCCGGAGTATATGTCTAGTCC